TATTTACCTATTCCACATGTTTAAGATTCTTGAAGTTTGAAGCATAGGGTATACCAAGATTTCTTGACACAAGAAGAAAATTGGATTCAGATCTGAGAAGTTGGCTTAGCTTTACACATAGACATAAACGGTAGAAATAAATTCAAATCCATGAAAGTCTCTCCAGAAACAGCTCTTGACTAAATCATTGGGCTATAGTTTTTTTTTTCTTTTTCTAATGCATAATTTGTATATCCAAGTCTGAAATGGTTCGCACCTTTATGCTGTGTAGTGATAGTCTCCTTTCCTTTATGAGTGCAGGCCACAGTCATTGACCCAGCTGATATTGGAGCTCTAGAGTCGGTCCTAAAACAGAAGAAAGTGAGTATGCTGCTTATTGCATTAACTGTTTTGAATTATATTTGTGGAATAGCTGAAGATATCCCCAATGACTGGAACATTGTCCGGTACAGGTGACTCTTTTCTTTACCGAGTCTCCAACAAATCCATTCCTGAGATGTGTTGACATTGAGCTGGTATCAAAGTTTTGCCATGAAAATGGAGCATTGGTTTGCATAGATGGGACGTTTGCAACTCCTCTTAACCAAAAGGCCCTTGCTCTAGGGGCTGACCTCGTTGTGCACTCTGCAACAAAATATATTGGTGGCCACAATGATGTATGGTGGCGTCAAATGATGTTTATAGCAATTCAAACTACTATGCACAACTAAAATTAGTCAGACTGATGCTATGCAATTGCATTTGTTGCAGGTTCTTGCTGGTTGCATTAGTGGACCTGAAAAGTTAGTTTCAGTAGTTCGTAACCTGCATCATATCCTGGGTGGTGCCATCAATCCGGTGAGTAGTCTTGCTTGAAGTCTTGCTTGACTTATTTCACATGCATTTTATGCTATATGGGGCCTGTCTGGTATGCAAAATTAAGATCCAAATGAAATTTATCCAATCTATTCTTCAATTCCATGTGCCTCTGAATTGGATAACCCTTTATTATTCATCGTGAAACCCTCACTATTTTAAAGGAGAGTTAACCCTTGGGATGGGAAATTGCTTTTTTCTTTTAAATGGACTCTAGATAGTAGTCGTGGTATTATGGCATTGTGTATAAAGGATGAAAGATATGTATTAGCTCAGCTTTAGCTTGTATTTTATTGAAGCTTGATTCAGTTTTCTCCCATGTATCAGAATGCTGCGTATTTGATCATCAGAGGTATGAAGACGCTGCATCTTCGTATAAAGCAACAGAACTCAACTGCGCAAAGGATAGCCGAAATTTTAGAGGCTCATCCAAAGGTATTCTAAGCTCTCAGTAATTATGTCAGTGATTCGACATTTGTAGCAGAATACAACTGCCTAAACTAATTCTCAAGGAAAGAAATAAAAGAATTCAAGAGAAATGTATCTTTGAGGAAATAAACAAGGTTCTATTTAATTTGTATTGATATAATAATTTGCAACAGGGAGCCTAATACACACACAGCTTAGTCTATTTTTGTAGGTTGTATGTAGCTAATTTGACCTTAAAGTGTGTGAAAGATAATCAAGATATGGAAAGTGGTCACTGCAGAAGTTCCAGTCTCCTGTTTTCTTCCTTTATTTGTTAGTTGTAGCAACGCCGGGTAAACTGGAAGTTTGTCTCCTCTTTTGCACCTTAAGATCCTGCTGCTAGTATCACAAAGCTTCATTTCTTTTGCGGGATGGGGTGATTCTGATTTACTTTTTCACTTCATTTGTTAACCAAGATGATGCTCTTTCACTGTAAATGCAACTTGGATGGTTTCATTCCGTGGCAAAACACACAAACAATTGCAAAGAGAACAGAGGCAAATAAAGATAAATGAATAAAGAGGATAAGAAAAACCGGTCAGTGTTGATAAAGGATTTCTTCTTGCCAGTTTTTCTTAAAACTAGTTTTTTTCTTTGTTTGGCTCAATTGCTCAAAGTTGCTTGCCTCTTATTTTTTTTGCTTATATTCCATGTTTACTCTACCATAAATATTTAGCTGTACATCTATGTATTGTTGGTTGCCTTGTATTTTCTTTGCTTCAAAGTTCTTTGTTCCATGCTCCAACTGCTATCATATCTAAGAAAATTGAGTTGCAGGTGAGATGTGTCTATTATCCTGGCTTGCCGAGTCATCCTGAACATCAGCTGGCAAAGAAACAAATGACTGGTTTTGGTGGTGTGGTCAGCTTTGAGGTATTTTACAATCTATTCCAAGTTTATGCTTGTTAAGTCCTATATTCTGGATGGTTAATCAGAAGGTTATATTATTAATTAGGTTGATGGGGATCTGCTGACTACTGCAAAATTCATTGATGCTCTGAAAATTCCTTATATTGCTCCATCATTTGGAGGCTGCGAGAGCATTGTGGATCAACCAGCAATAATGTCTTACTGGTATGTCAATTTTCTGTATATGGCTGGCAGTGTCCTTTTCCCTTTGTCCCTTTCCGGGGCTTGACAAAGCATGTTTATGGAGACTCTGGACATCCAATAAATGTGACACCAAGGATTGATATACCTAGAAGGTGCTAACAGTAATGTGGTTTTATTAGGTGGATGTATAAGCTATCCACCGTTAGAGGCGGATGAGGCCTTTACTCAATATGTTCAACTGGACCCAGTATTTTCAAAATTGAACATCTATATATGCGTAAAAGCCACTAAAATTTCTGCAAATATTAAATTCGAAATCATAATTTCAGAGGTACAATGAGTTCCGAGTTCAGTGCTAAGAACCTTAAAAGTTGAACCCATCAGGTTCAAATCCTGAATCCGCCTTTGTCCAGCATGTTGGATCAAATGACTCTTGGGAAAAACATTCTTAAAGAAACCTTATCGGACTTGGATAATAAGTGGATAAACTTTCTTTATCATTCTGAAAACAGGGATCTTAGCCAGTCAGACAGAGCAAAGTATGGGATCTTGGACAACTTGGTTCGATTCAGCTTTGGAGTGGAAGACTTTGAAGATTTGAAAGCTGATATTCTTCAGGCTCTGGAGGCCATATAGACCGTCTTACCTGCAACCTGATTTTATTGTTTCCTATGATCCTTTTCGTTCCCCTAGCTTTGAACGTTTTCATCTGTAAGTGTTGTACTCGTTTCCCCAATTGATAGAATATAGTGAAAGGATCATTCCGCAGATGATCCAATCTAATGTGAAAGTGGGATATTACTGTTACCGTCTTCTTATCTTCTTGGAGAATTGAGTTCTTTAAATGAGTTTAACTCTAGTAGCAGCGGGTACAAGAGAAGCAGATGAAATTTACATAATAATGCAGAAGGAAGGGACAATTTGCAGAAAGCTTATAGGCAAGAATCTGGATAACAGCTCTTTGCTTTTCAAATGTTATTACGTAATTTTATAATTGAGGGAAAAGGAGAATGAACGTAAATCCAAGTGAAACATGTGAAGAGAGGAGACATCGTAAACAAGCAGTGGTTTGCCACTATTTGTAATTGTTTCCTCTCTTTTTTTCTTCTTTTTCTTTTTTTTCCGAGCAGCAGCAGACAGACTAATTTTCTGACTCTTTTATTTCTGCGATATGTCATATGGGATGCTTTCGGGGAAAGAACAGAGAAGAATGAGAGGCGTATAATTTAAATGGTACCTTTAAATAGTCAGATTTTTATATAAGAGGAGGATAGTGTTTATAGTTGAACTTACAGCTCGTTTGGATGGTTGTTCCCCATTCTATCGTACTGTATTGTTATCCGAAAACAATATTTGTTTTGATTGTTTCATTAAAGTTGGTTGTATTGTATTGTTAAATCCATTGTTCCGGAACAATGAAAATTTCCCGTTTTTGAAACAACCAATTTGGTGTGGTGGGATTGTTTCCTATTTTTATTTCCAATTATGCCCTAACTTAATACTCTACAATTTTATTTTACCTTTTATTTTTTTTTTATTTTTTTTCTATTTTAACTCCAATTTTTCAACCTATTACCTACTTTGTTTTTTTCAGAACTTCTGCCGCCAACGTTAAAGGTGTTTTGACGCCTTCTGTTTTATTTTTTCTCTGCTTCTTTGTTTTGCCTTCTTCTGTCTCGCTCCTTTGTTCTGCTTTCTTAAGGTGTTTTCCCTTCTTCTGTTTTATTTTTTTTAAATTATTTTTTACGCAAAATTTTTGAGAAATTTAATATTTAAATATTGAGGGTATTTTAGTAAACTTATAAGTTAAAGTACGGTACGATACAGTCAAACCAAAATATTATTTAACAAACAAACAATACAATCTATCCAATCATTGTATTCATAAAACGATACAATACAATACAATACATTATAAAACGACGGGGAACAATGATCCAAACAGAGTGTTAGTTTAGTTTCATAGTCATGCCAGAAGAAGTTTATTTTGGGTACTATTATCCCCGGTTAACGCGTTTTTTATGCGTATTAGATATAGGTCGGGTCGAATAATTTATCCGTTTTCTTATTACCCGTTTTCGACCCGCCTCATATCCGACCCGCCCCGCCCCATTTGCCGTCGTGAAATCAGTTTCTAAAGTAGAAACTTACAAGTACCCGTGCTATATACATTAATTACACATATATCTCAAATTCAATACACTTCTTTTTAAATCTTATAAATACCACTCCTCTGTTTTAATTTGTATATATGACACACTTTCCTTATTAATTCGCTCTTAAAAAATTGACATATTTCTCCATTTGGAAAATCAATCTTAAATTTTGTATTTTACCCATTTGACCATTAATGAGAAGCTTTTTTATAGTCATATTATAGCCCCACAAATCTTTTTATCCTTCAAGCTTTTAAGACCGCAAGTTTTAAAAGTCTTTTCTTTTTAATTACGTGCCGAGCCAAACTACTTCATATAAATTGATGGAATAGAAGTAGTACGTCGCAATTAAAAAACTTGTCAATCTAAATAATAATCATATTAAACAAAATAGATAGAGTATGTTTGAGTTTGAGTTATTCATTTATGGATATGCATTCTGACACATATATGTAAGTATTTAATCCAGTTAGGTGTACTTTTATGTTGAATATATTTTAAAGAATTCTTATGAAATACCCAACATATATTTTCAAAACAAATGAAGGATCTTTGCAACATAACCAATGTCTCTGTGATATAGATCGATGAGATCTAATGCTCAGAAATTTACACCTCCTAATTACCAATTTTGCTCTGAAATTCTATCGCTCTGTGTCTTTAGTTTATAGAGATGATGATGTGGAGATTAAGGATGTTAGATTCAATTTTGATTTGGGTTATCATAGTATTATCACCATTGGTGGATGCAATGCGATTTGAGTTGATATCTGGAACGTCAAAATGTATAGCAGAGGACATTAAGCACGATGCCATGACTGTTGGCAAATACTCTCTCGTCAATCCTAACGACGGTTACCCTCTGCCCGATAACCACAAAGTCACTGTTCGGGTAATTTTTACTTCCAAGTTTTACCCTTCATTTAGTAACTTCTGGAAATTCTCTCATTCATCAAAAATTTGCTTTTTAAATATTTATGTAGTTTAACTTATGATAATAAGTGAAATGCCATTTGGAGTTTGAGCTAATTGTCTGTGTGACCTTAATATATGTCACATAGAGTATGGATGATGAAGTGTAATTATTCAAATGAGTGCATGCATTTTCTTTGTTTATCTTTGGTTTATTTTGAGAATTTTACGTTAAGTACTTAGACTAATGTCACACTAGTTCGACAAGCAAATGAAAGATAATTGAACAGAAATGTCCACGTTTACTATTTAATTTGCACAACAAATATCGTCTTTTCTTGTCAGCATATTACAGTAAAGCCAATGTCGGAACCTGGCGGAGCCACACACCTTTGCCGGAAAATTACAGTCTGTAGTTAAGTTGAAAAAAAAATTGTTTTATGTATATATACAATATGTTGAATCTCTTTAGCTTCTTTCTGTGTTTTTACTTCTTTATATTTTGACTCTTTTTAGTGAAAATACTTGCTACGATGTGAACTGATGCAGGTCACTTCTCCATACGGGAACAATTATCACTTCATGGATCATGTAGAATCTGGTACATTTGCCTTTACAGCATCTGAGGGAGGTGACTATATGGCTTGTTTTTGGGCAGCAGATCATAAGCCACCACTAAACTTGTCAATTGACTTTGATTGGAAATCTGGTGTTGCTGCTAAAGATTGGTCTAAAATTGCCAAGAAAGGCCAGATTGAAGTAAGCAATAATTACTTCCATTTTTTCGTGTAACTCTCTTTATGTTGCTACTTTTAGCATTAATTAATGGATATGTTTCTTGAAAAAGAAATGGCTAATTGTAGTAGCAGTTGAAAAAGAATATTTGAAAGTTGAAATGTGTTTAATTTGGTCATGAATTTCGCTTGAAAAAAGTTGAAAATTCCACCAATATTTCACTTAGAGCGTAACACTCTCTAAACAACTTCTTCAATATATTAGCAGTATTGCATATACTGATAGTATTTGCAGATACTGATGGCCAAACCACTATTTAACAAATACTGGTGGTCAAATCAATATTTGCAAATACTTGGTCGTTTCCGGCTAGGTAGAGGGAAAAAGTGAGCCAGTATCTATCCAGCCTTTCCTTGCATCTATGCAGTAGACTGTTTTCACGGCTAATTCTCTATTGATTTTCAATCTCGCCATTTCTTTGAAAGGAGTTCAGTTTGAATAAGTGTAATTTGATACTGATAGGAAAGTACAGTTATTTGTCACTAAACAACCCTTGCATGTAGGTGATGGAAATTGAGCTGCAGAAGCTGTTCGATATAATCACTTCCATTCATGATGAGATGTTTTATCTTCGCGAACGGTACGAACATAAACATGTCATTCATGTCATTGCTATTGCTTCTATATATTGACAGTATAAAATTTAAATTTCATTAAATCTCGTAAGATAAAGTATAACAAATGAAATTAGTTACTTGAAAATACAGCTACCAGCATAGTAGATGATGTTATAAATTGTTTTTACACTGTCCATGTATATAATTAAATTCTAACCTTTATTGTGTGAGTTGTACAGGGAGGAAGAAATGCAAGAATTAAACAGAGCAACTAATTCCAAAATGGCCACTTTTACTGTACTATCTTTACTTATTTGCTTGTCCGTGGCTGGTCTCCAAGTTTGGCATTTGAAGTCATTTTTTGAAAAGAAGAAGCTTATCTAATTGTAATCTTTACATTTTTCATATTTTGTCTATTCACCTTTAAGCACCTTTGTCCTTAATTTCCATCTGTAAGTTTTTTGCTTGCAAGTGTTTATGGTTGAAGTTAGTTACTTCCAAAAGCTTGTTTATGTTCACACTTTCTGTTATGCCATTGCTAAGCTAGTGTCCGAGTCCCTAAGATTAGGAGTGGATCTAGCGGATAAGCTATGGGTTAACACTACAACAAATTTGATTATCAATGACGAATTATTTTGTCACTTAAACGTCATATTTCGTCACCAAAAACCTTTTGCGACAAAAAAAACACCGTCACTAAAAGTATACAAAGACAATTTTGCGGTTCGTGGCTAATCAAGTTGTATTAGTTACGAAATTCTTTTTCATCCCCAAATGCCTAGTACCCGTGACGAAATTGTTTGTCAAAAAAAGTATAAAATATTTGTCGCTAATAGCGTATTTTGTCACTAAAAAAATTATCGATGCCGACGAAACTACCTTGTCACTAAATATTTAGTTTAATTAGTGACGACGTTGATTGTCTCTAAAGTTATATGTATTTCGTAGTTAAACTAACATTATTTCGTCACTAAATACTACCTTTTATGTACAAAAAATAATTCATTCCCAAATATAGAGAGAGATAAAGTCAGATATATAGAGATATATATATAGTATATAGTATATATATATATATACTATATATATAAATAAATAAAAAACTTGTAGAGGACTCTTCCCTGACTGAACGGACTATGTGGACAATACTCTTAGGAATAGTCCATGTAGAATTTTTTTTTATTTTTTTTTCTATCTCTTAGGTAAGTGTGTGCTCATCCCTTGGTTTTCTTTTGACACACGGTTTCTTTTTCCAAGGGTTTTTCATTTGCCGGGTTAGGTTAGATTTTCTTTTTATAGTTTTATGATTAAAGGGTGAGGTCAGAATGTAATCCCAAATGTGCAACTTGCAAAGAAGGAATGAACTAAGGGTGTAAGTCTTAAGCTCATTTGTGGACTCATATATATGCCTCTAATTTTGGCAAATACTTCGTCTTGCTTGAACACTCGTCATGATTGTGTTGATGAACTGATTCGGAATGAGTTGTCATGCTAAGTGTTGTGTTGAGTTGTTACTTGCCATCCTATGCGTGCATAATGAGTCCTAGAACTTGCCCCTGTTGTTTGGCGAACGAATAGGTGTTTGGTTTTTAGAGATGATTGAAGCATTTCTTTGGCAACCTTTTCTTGACATCACCGGTGAATATTACCAATAGTTTAACCCCTTTGAGGCTGAAGCCTATTTTTGATAACACCTATAATGATCTAAATCGCTGTGTTTGAATAAGCCAAATTGTTTTGAACCGTTAACGGTCCATAGAAGCACTGTGAATCAGCTAAAGAATATACAAAAGTCAAAAAGTGTGGGTGGGATGAGAGTTAGTGAAAAAAGGGAAATCAAACCAATGAAGGTTCTGGGTGGTGAACTGGCAGTGTACAATCAATATACAAAAAAAAAAAAAAAAAAAAGAAAGCCAGTGTACCTAAAGAAAAGTGGGGGTCACAAGTGAAACAAAATGTGAAAAAAATGATTGGGTTGAACATGAAGGTGAAATAAAAGGAAGTGTGTATTAAAAGTGCTTAGGGAGGTTAGTCACTATATCCAAATATATCCTACCCGTCCCTTAGCCTACATTACAACCTATAAACGCTCTTGATCTTTGACTGAATGGCTCGATTAGTGGAGTATTACACTAGGGGCAAAGCTTATGGGTGGTCTGTGTGGCATGTGAATGCTCTTTGCTGAGAGTGATGAATTCTTTCTAATATGTGGTTCCTTGTTGTTGAATTTTATATGTGGGAACTTCTCTCAAATTTTGTTCATGTGAGGGCATGTGACTCAGGAAGAAAAAGGTAAGTCCTTCACCTCTGTTAGAGTAATTAGAGTGAGCACAAGTGTGTCTTGGCATGAGAGTCCTGCAATTGAGATAATGATTTGTGCACTGCTTGGGTCGATACTGATATATAGCAGGTGTGACATAAATTGGGGCAAATGCATTGAGCAGTTAGGCCCTAGAAGTGGGTTTAGTTGCTCGAGGGACGAGCAAAGATTTAAGTGTGGGGTTGTTGGATAATAGGTGAATTTGCACTAAATCACACCTTAAATAATCCACTTCTTGCGTAGTTTAATGCTAAAAGTGATGACAAAATACTCTTATTAGTGCTTTTCATGAATTTGTAAAGTGATATATGTATAAAGACGGCTAGGAGCAGTTTTGGAGTCAAAAGTGATGAAAAGAGGCCAACTGTGAAATTTCCTAAGTGAACCCGGGCCAAAAAAAAAAACAGGCCGAAGATTCAGAGAATGGGATCCACCGCGGTTTCACCGCGATTCGCGGCAGAAGCCGCGGTGGGAAGGCAGCTGCAGAGTTGTGAGAATCCGCGAGGGGTTTGTTTGGCCGCGGTTCTAAAACCGCGACCGCGCAGAAACGCGGCAGACGCAGAAACTTCTGGGACCAAAGTGTCAATTACGGGATTTTAAGAACCTAAAACCCTATTTAAAACATTAGACTTTCGCCCAAGAGAGGATGTATTGATTTTTTTAAAGTTTCTTAGCAGGAAAACAATTGTGGAAAGTACTCTAAACATCTTTCTTCTTTTCTTTTTGATTTTATGAATGAATTCAAGCTTAGTTTATTTCTTCCATATCTATGAGTAGCTAAATTTCCTTGTCTAAGGCATTGATGGAACCTATTGGGTGATGAACTTCTTGTTTATGTGAATATAAATTGCTAGTTTAATCTTTATTTGTTTCAACTTCGTGTTCGTTGTAGTTAATTGACAGGATCCCTCAATTAGCTGTGCCCTATTTAGTGTGCATAACTTAGAAAAGAATGCATATTTAGGGTATTGTTGAACAACACCACTCCTAGATTATTAGAGGAATCTATAATTGCAGGTTTAAAGGCGGGATTAGGGATAAACGAAGCCTTGGGTGTAATCTAAAGTGAATCGTGCTAAATTAAAGTAAGCTAGTGTATCTCGGGAGAGTGCAATAGTAAAATTACTGGTGATTACTCGGAGAGATTTACGGTAAGATTAGCGTTCAATGATTGAATAGAGATGTGTTGGTAAATTTGGTATGAGCATAAACAGAAGGGATATTCCACAATAGAGAAATCAATTGCCCTTTAGCTTGTTTTTCTCATAATTGTTTACGACCTTTATTTTTACTTAGTTACAGCACAGTTAGTTTATTTGCAAGCTAGTTTGTTAAAGAACACCTCAACTGAGATTTGAAATATTTGGGAAGCTGGTTCTGAAGACTTAGTGGGTCTGAAGGTAGCAGTTGATAGGTTAACTCTCTGTGGATTCGACCCTGGGCGTAATACTCGGGTTATATTTGCAACGTCCGCAGAGTCCTTTTTAATAAGGCATAATTGGGCGTGATCACCGCCAGTACTAATTTGTCATTCTGTTAATTTCTTCACAAAATTAAAATATGATATGACTAATGTCTAAAAATATATTTTTGATAAATTATGTTATCAAATGTACTAAATTATTTTTTTTTTCTTCCACAGGTACAGAAAAGTTAAAATTTATTCAAGAGCAAAGTTAACAAGAAAAGTGGTTACATTAGCGTTTGAGGAAGAAGCAAAGCATATTTTTTTCTTCAGTTTATTACTAAATTATTGTATTTCTATTTGACCTCATGTTGAATGAATTTTTAATTATTATTGTGTTTTAAATATTAAGGAGTTTGTAAATGAAATATTATCTCAATAATAGTACTAGTTCTTAATTATGTGATCATGGGTGAGAATTTTGTTGTTATTTCCATGTTTTAATTATGTTATTTTCTTTAGTAAATGATACATTCTTGAATTAATGAAAAATTATTATAAATAGTACCACTACGAATTTTGACGTCATCAAAGTGTTCATCATAAAATTGACCACATTTACTGACAAAGTAATTCGTCTCCCAGAATTATCATTTTACGGATTCGTATTCCATGTTAAATTTTAACTAGCATTGTAAAAAAAAAAAAAAAAAAAAAAAAAATTGCGACGACATAAATAGTTTTTAAACTACAAATTATAAATTATTTTTGTAAAAGCAAAGTTGTTACTAATTTTAT